ACATAACAGTATTGGGGTGATGTTTTCCTTCATGTTTTGTATCTTGGTGTATGTTAATAGACTAAATATAATTATTATAATTTAAATTCTTCTTCTTTAATGCTTCCTGTACCCCTGCTTAGGGTTCAATCATGCTGCAGTTTAGCCCCCAGTCAACACACGAGTCTCACTTCTTATGTGTTGTGTGTTTTTCTGCTCTGTCAAACACAGGATGGAGATGTAATGATATCAGCCAAAAGTACCCAGAAATAGTTTTGCACATTATGAATCACCAGCTAGTTTTTCTGCAGATTTTTCCACTGCAGCAGAAATTGTGACTGACTCATACAGTATCTGAGCATGTAAGAAGTGGGGATACAAAACAAACACACAACACTGACTAATGCATGTAATACCCTGCTAGTCTAGACATCTTATCTTTGTTGTAATCATACAGGACTTTTAGGCAGACCAGATCTGGATTACAGGTAAGTGTGTGTGTGTGTGTGTGTGTGTGTGAGTTTGTCAGAGTTTGTCATTGCAAATCCAGGGTGATAAACAGTGTGTCAATAAAGCAGGAGTACAGGAAGCAGGGAAAGAAAGTGGAACACACAGCAGAGTGTAATTAACACCACACTACTCTTTTCATAAGCCAGGCAGGGCCCAGGCTGAGACTGTAGGCTAAATAATACAACATATGCCTACAAGTAGGCATACAATAGAACAATACGTTTTCATTTAAATGCACCTGTTTTACCAACTGATGTACTGATAAAAATGCAATAAGCAATGACGACCTGAGAATCTGGCCAATGTCACTAGCTTTTCTAAAGCCTGAAAACAGATCCAGGAGGAGGCACAGAATTCTAGTTTTCCCTTAGACAACTTGAATTATTCTGCTAAAAGATTATTATGGAGCAAAAAATAAAACTGCCTACCACAGCTTTAACTGCCAGTTAATGGTGAGTTTCCTGATATTTTCATATTCTAAACTCCACAAGTCAGATCAGATAAACCTAAAAATTCCTACAGGGAAGAGATCTTTTGGTTTTTCAGAGGTTTGTTTGGACCTGAAGAGGCAGTGGGCACTTGGTGAGAGCTCAGCCAGTGACTGAACACATAAATAATCTTCAGAACCCTAATTTCCAGAACTTTGAATGAAAAATACATCAAAGCAATCGACACAGATGTACACATTCTGGGTGGTGAAGCCCAAAATCCTAACAACATCCACGTAGCACCAGAGTCAGCATAATAAAAAGAAGCTAAAGACTTCAGGAACATTAACTATAACAAAATATGGATAGAGCTGAAAGGTGTCCTGGAGTGGAAGGTGTTAAATTACAGGTGTTTCCCTCAAGTATCCAATTCAGAGGAGAATAGACTGACTGACTATCTGTATTGTTCAGAGTTGCACAGTATGTGTTGAGTTGTTTTGGTTAGCAAAACAGTGAGGGTGGGCTGGGTGATTGTGGTCGAGCAACCTGATCATTACAACACATGGAAAAAGTGACCATGGAGGAAATGGGAGGGAAGCTGAGTGGTCTGTGATTCTAAGAAGTCACTCAGTTACTAAGTATTAAGAGCTTCTGGATGCAGAATAATATACAACACAATAACACAAGCTTTGTAACAATGTGTTTTTCAGATAATCAAGTGAGTTTTTAAAGCTATAATATAACATTTCTGCATTAAACTGTCTATAAACTCTAGCTCTATGTTCTGTATGTAGTTCCTGGCGGCTGACCTTGTGACGCCCATGCTCGTCTCAGTCCTGCAAGGAATCTGAAGATCGCCTTTCATTGCCAGACCTCCCACCTCCTCTTTCTCCTTTCTCTTTCTGCAACTCACACCAACACAACCTTTGCCACCGCAAGGCTTAGTGTGTGCATAGCGGTGCGTGTTTAAGAGATTGAGTGCACATAGACTGTGGTGTGTACATCATGTTAATTTAATGATGCAGTGCAGTTCAGAGTCCACTCTTTCCTGTCTATAACAATCACAGACACGTGCATCAAGTTCCAAGTCACTGCGGCCCCTTTGGTTGGTGATACTTGGTGTTCATGCCTCACTTATGCTCCACTGATAGGATATCAATATAAACAGCCTGTCTAAACAATCAGTCTCTATTGGATCCGTCTCTGATAGATGGGAATGTCACTGTATTTTATTAACCTAATTTCTGTCTCCCTCTGAACCTCTCTCTGGCTCTGGCTCCTCTCCCTCTCAAATCTGATTATTGGAAGGAGCAACAGTGAACTTCATGGTAAAACTGGAACTAGTTTCTCACCAGTAGACATTTCCACCCTACATTACATGTTGAAACTTGTTTTTGGGTAATATAGACATTTAAAATGTGAATAGAAGCATATTAAATAGTATGCAATTTGAATTCTTTAGTTTTTTTAAATTGTACATTATTAATTTATGTGGAAAAAAATGTAAAGGTAATGTAAAAATTTTAATAAAATCATGTTAACATTGCTAGGTGATTCCCGCCATTTTTTGTCCTTGTTAAATAATTGATCACATACAGGGGGGGGGGGGGGGGGGGGGGGGGTACTGTTTAGTAACCTGTGGCTCTAACTTTGACATTCCAATAACAATCTGTCCCCTATCATCGCTGTTCAGAGGAACATGTAGTTGGCCATTTGTATCATTTTAACCAGTGTACTGACTCAATAGGAGCACCCTTCTGCCAATCCGCTACACAGTTTAGAGATTATTATAGATCCAAAGACGAAAGCTAGACAGATGGGCGGACTGAGAGAAAAAAGGTGCAATTACAAATCCATCTGCTACTTAAAACATCAATGGACAGTGCATGGATGTATCACAGTTAGGCTGCAGAATTTCAGAGCCATGGTCAGGACTCCCGGGGCTATCTAAACCTTAGTCAGATAAAGGATGAGTGAGTTCATAATAACAAGTTAGGCATTATGATGTCCTGACCATTTGTGTGGAGGATTTTTTGCTTTAACTTTTAGAGCATGCAAATGTGAAATAACCTTTTTTTTTGGACCTCGTTTTTTTCTCCATATGTTGCCCTGCTCGTCCAATATTTCCCCTGCTTTGTGTATGTCAAATCCTTCCATTCCGGTTTAAAATCTAAGTTAAAAAGCACCAAGATGTAAACAGTGGATGGTAAAAAATGGTGGCTTTTAAACTGGATAAAAAGTCAATTGTATGAGCAGCTTTTGGCAGACAACCACAAAGCTGAATGCAGGCACAAAGGGGATATGAACGGCCATTGCAAGGCGACCGGTGAAACGCAGCGTTACCCTGAATAAATGACACATTTCTCTGAGTTTGAACATTGTTGGAAAATTTTGGGGAATAATGGAAGTACACAACTCCAA